AAACTAACATGTTTGATTCAGATCAGCCTACTTTCGTTTGATAATTTGTAGTTGTGAAAGAAAAAGAATTTCCTGAAGGTTATTCAACACGGCAAAGTTGAAAGTATAGTTTGGCGAAAGAGCCTGCTAAAAATTTTAGAAGCCAAAATTAATATTATATCAATGAGTGTATTTAGAATATAGCAGAAGTGTATCTAAATAATTACGGCGAAACGGGTATAAGTAAATGAAATGGATTTTTGAATTTGAATAAAAGCCGTGCTATATTGCAAAATCAATTTAAAACAAATTGCTTGCATCAATAAGCATTTGTTTTCTCAAACAATGGCCTTTTCTGCATAAATATTTCATGAGGATTTTATTGTATTTTCCCTTCCTCGGAGTTAACGAACACTCTAGCATTATTATATTTAACAATTCACCTATTCAGAACATGTCATGCATTAATTGTAAAACAATTACAATAGAAATTTGTGACGATTTAGAAACATTGCATGCAAACCTGTTTGTAATTTATCATAGACTTATCATACGATATGAATTCTATTTGCATACCTTTTTGTACACTTGGGAACCTGATGGTAAAATTAAATTGGTTTGAATAATCATATTAACACATTGATTATATTAGTCGGTTTCCAATACCTTATCAAAGATTTAAGACTGCCAGAACAATTCAATGGTTTCGCTACATTAGGTGATAATAGAAACTTCATCCCGCCATTCGATTCAAATTTATGTACGGTCAAAAAAAAAGGTTTCATAGAAAATCTGAAACATGTTTTTTTTTTTGTTTTTTTTTTTATTTTATCAAACAAATCGTTTGAATCATGAATCATTTATGTTATAGTAGAACAATTTTAATTTTAATATTGATTGCATTTACGTATACTTTACATGAAGATTTCAGTGTATTTTGTTATTCTCCTTTTACAATGTACTTGATCGGACATTTATACAGTATTAACTTTACCAAAATACTTTGAGGAAAAAGTATACATATTAAATAACAGACCTTTCATACGATGGTAAATATCTTCAAACCATTTTATCAATCAATATCAATGAGGAACATCCTTATGATATACTAAATTTATATAGGTAATCCCTTCCTTATAAAAGTTCAGGACATCCTTAACAATTCAATAGTTCCGCTGTATCTATTTGATTTGAGCGATCTTTGCTATGAAAGATTGATTGGATGGAATAATATAGCTACAATGTATAGTAAAATAAGGGAAAAGGCGAATTCCAAATTTCTAACACCTTCGTTTGGACAATAAATCGTTTTATAAATATTTTATTCTTATCATATCGTACAATCAATATGCTTTCTGGAATAATGCCATTTATAATGTCTCTGACTTACAAAGAGACTAATTATGTAGTTACATACAAATCTGACACACGGAGTAACAAATTAAGGAAACAAAAAATTAAAAACAAAGAAATTTAATGATCACAAATTTGTATTAAAATACGTATATTTACATTATAATAATCAATTATCTCTATTCTTTTAGATAACTGATCATGATCTACTTTATTTAAACTTCAAAGTTCAAATTAATCTGGTCGGCATTCATGGTAAACTCCCAAAACACAATATTTTCACAAGAATGGATAAATATTCACAGGAGCTACCTCACGACCGAAGCATAAACGGGGCTTTATTTTTCAAAGCTGTGAATGAAATCATACAAAACATTAAAAAATGTCGCTGACACTTAGACTCGTGTGTTGGGGAAAGAGGCTTGAGGCCGGGGAGGGGGGGGGGGGTATTTAAGATATTTACCGTCGGCAACATCAAAGGATATATCATTAAGGGAAGAGAGCCTTTCACGGAGCCCTTAATAACGTTTAGACACACTCGGTCACCGAAAGGCAATATCGCACAAGGCGGAGAGAGGAGGTGATATTGTTATGTAATAAACACAAATATAAACAAAATAAGGACCAATTTATAAGACCATTCACGCAAACAGTTATTACTTACTTTTGTCAAATTTTAATCTAAAGTTGCCTTTTAAGCCTTGCGAAAAAATCTATTTATATTAGTAAATAAAATCCAGAATATTCTTTTTATAATCTGCTTAATTAATTATGCTCTAAGTACAATTCCTCTAAACAACATATTATTCCACAAGTACCTTTGGTGATATTATGAATCTTTTCGAAACAGCAATGGAATAAAACGTGTAGACATTTACAAAACATCTTATTCTAAACAAAATATTTAGAGTGGCGGCATAGGCGAGTGGTAACTCGTCGAACTTGTAATCTAAGAATTGCTGACGACGTGGGTTCAAAGCCTGTCATGTGCAAGCTTTTGTTTCCGAGAGCAAGATACTTTATACTTATTAGAACTGGTTGCTTCAAGGAAAACAAGCTTCCAACTCAATCAAACTAAAATACATTTAGTATAAACTAAGCATAACATCGACAGTTACATATTTTGTCTTACGAAACGTCGGTGGTTCTACTCAGGTGCCCGTTCGTGCCTGAAATAATGCACGATTGGACACCTGAGGTCTTCCTCCACCAGTAAAGCTGGAGCGTCGCGATATGACCTATACTGTGTCTTTGTGACGTAAAACCCAAAACAAACAAACAAACAATTTACATATTTTGTAATATTGGATGCATTCACATGCATGAATCACTAACAAGCATTGACAGAAGATTTTCGTTTACACTTTGTCTTAAATTAAAACGTTGCTAACTCTTTTAAGGCAAATTAAATCTAGCAAGATGATATGACGAACAATTGAAATTAATATCTTAAGCAAACAACTTCAAAATAAATGTTTTAAAAGACTTGACATTGTTTATAATACTAGTGCATTGAAAAAAAAAATATTAAAAATTGTTTAAATCTTTGTATCTTTACATTTTTTATTGGGTGAAATAACAATTGTTTGGCAATGAAAGAAAGAAAAAGAAGTAAAACGGGTAAAAAAACTGTAACACAGTTTCGATTCGGTGCATAAATATTCGGATACAATTAAACTTTCACAAATGAATATAAATCAACATTGACTGATTCAGTGAATTTCAATTAGAGATATATAAGTGTACAATCATACCGCCTTGTTTATGAAAAAAAATCATTATGATGTCTTTCCTTTTACGAAGAGACAACATGACTAACATTATTTTCATCATTTTGAGAACAACATTTAAAAAGCACATTACATCATATACTCAGCCTTATAACATTATTTTGTAACAAACATTTTTGAAGTGGTCCTTATACTGATAAACCGTCTGTGTAATCACTTGACTTTTACTTTGATTCTTTATTTAACTGAAGGTTATAGTCAATAATTCCATTTTATGTCACTAATTCTGTTTTACAGCTTTCTACAGAGAATTTTAATACCCTCATTAACAGTTTTAATTTAATCTTATATTCGGCCAAAATTGTTACAGGTACTGATTTATAATTGTTGTATAAGATAGGGTTTTTGTTATCTCCAATCTAGTAATTTTAATTAAATACAAGGATCAAATAAGTGAATTTTCTTTTTTTTAATTCTTCAAATTATCAAACACTTTACTGCATTAACAAAACAAAGTTCAACAAATATGTTTTCCAGATGTTTGTTCAAACAAAACGTCTAGTCTCTTACATCAAATTGCTGTCTACAAAATATTTACAGCATTTTCAGCTTGTTGAAAACTGAGTGAAAAATAGTAAAAAAAAAACAATGACACTCTCCAAAGAGGACTTATCATTTTCAAACAATCATTCTGATATACAGTGCTATATTATATTGAGAGATCAAATATAAAATTACATAAACTGGTCATTTTAAGTATGTAATTTACTTCAAATTTTCATACGTAACCTTGTTTTTAACTTACATAATTTCTTTCAGTGAAACGATTGAACAATTATTTAAAGTAAAAATCGAGAAATGACTTCTAATTAAAAATCTAATTACTTTCTGATAATATTCAAATACACTGGAGGCTTTCTGTTGATTTTAAATGGTATTTTAGTGTTTAGCTTTCCCCTTTATTTTATTAGCAAGCATAGAGTGATTTCCTGATAAAAAAGTCCTTTTCAAATAACTTTTCATGGCATGTTTTAATACTACCACACACCTTCGAACAGATGAGCCACAATTGCTATACTGTCGTCGTTTTCCCTGACTTTGGCCGTAAACACACATCCATCTTGAAAACAAAGGCTATCTCGACTATTTCCAGAGAAACCACTTACACATATTATCATTATTATAATTATTATTATTGTCATTATTATTATTATTATTTATTATTATTATCCTTTTTCAAAACCTATTCTTGTAGAATTTTAAAAGACAAATACAAACTTACACTAATGTTTAAATGCAGTACATTTAAGCATATAGAATGGTTGAAAATTTAAGGCTTAAAATTTGTCATGTCTGTTATGTATATAATGAATATCATAAGAACTATCGTAAAATTTAATTTTAGTTATTCACTTTATTCCAGAATGATTGACTGAATGATTATTTTTGAAATTGAAACTGTTAATAGATGTTCATTATTTTCAGCTCAACCAATGTATCAGCTGAACTATATCAGTCTGTGGAAATGAAACAATTATAGTCAGTACAACTAAACAATTTTGCTTCACTTTAAATAATTAACATTATAAATAGTCGAACTAATAGTCGTATCTAACCATATCATTCTTTTTGTTAATAATGTTTAGCTGCTTTTTGTGTGTTTTTTTCTTTCTTTCCAGTATTGTTTTCTTAATAATCATTGTTAAATCTAAGTAAAATATAGTACTGTCCGTTGTTTTGCTTTATGGAAAATTTCTTTTCACCTTCATCACTACACTGCGGATAGAATAATGATAATCCCCAACACGTTTTTCAGTTTTTTACCATCAGGCAAACGTAGGGTGATTCCCCGATAAGTATAGTCCATTCAAATTACTTCGATGACAAGCTTTGTCACTACCACCATCCTCCTTTGTATATTTGAGCACAGTTGTGTTGTTATTCCTTGTCTTTTGTCGAGAACATATTACCATCATGGTAACTAAGACTATCACCGCAGTTTCCGGAGAAGCCATTTACATGCAATCTGAAATTCGAATCTTCGTCGTCAACTCTGAACGTGTGAAATTGTGCATAAGCATGTGTAGGTGATACGTCTTCAAATGCTTCCATTTCAATTCTTAAGGAACTGTCGACAGTAGTTAGCTCATGTATATTCTCAAGGCCAAGCCAGTACTCTCCTGATATAATACCGAATCCACAAACATAATCTGTCCATGTTCTGTAGAAATCTTCTGACCCATCCAGTCGACGTTGTATAACTGTCCATCCACCATTTTTCATATCGCACCATGTCTGTATGCTAAGCCCGCCGACAGGTTCTATTGTATATATACCGTCCTCCTTGCATCCTTTTTCAAATAGTGCAAGGCAATCCTTTTGTTCTGTAAATTAAACATAAAAACTGAATTCATGAAATAATTAAATAAGTGACCAAAGAGACCTTACCGATATCAGTAGCAAGTGGTAAACAAATAGTATCACATATCGCATTAAAGTATATTTAATTCAAGATGTTTCGATTGCAAACAAAGAAATAATCAACCCACATTTTTTAACTTCCCATATTATAATTGCACTTCTGTGTAATGTTTATACAAGTCTACCATGTAACTAAGATTGTTTAGTAGTTACATAGAATACAATGTCTTTTGACAGGTTAAATAAGGTCACGTGTTGCAGAAATTAATATCGCTGTTATTTTTGTCAATCGATTCGATAGCTAATTTTCCTAATTTAATGTGAATGATCATTCCCAAAGTGGCTAGGAGCACCTGTGACTTTATCCAACTGTTTGCAACCTTAAGCGTCCAAAACTTCCGCGGGTTTAATAGTTCAGATGTAAACACCTTGTGTGCGTATTCAAAGGTTGGGCTTCAAAGGCAAAAAGCGAATTTTGTCTGAAGATAACATTTTCTTAAACAAAACAGGCAAATAAACGGTTTAAATTAAAAAGATGAGTTGATACTATTTCAGTTATGTAACTGTAACAGTTAAATGAAAATTTCATATCACTGAGGTTTGTGTTTGGGAAAAAACAGCACATGTATGAGTTTGTAACATAGACAATTGTTTTATTTCTTGTTTTTTCTAATATTGTATTCTTCCTGTTATAAATAAAAAATATACAGTAGAACTTCTATAAGACGATCTTCGATTAGTTGATTTTCTCCATGTGCCAAATAAAATGAAAGTCCCGCTTTTTCGGCCTAATTTCCTTATAAAAAATCTATAATACTTGATCGAATAAACTAATATACAATGAATGCATAGATTAAATCATTGTAACATATAATATAATAAAAGCAACACAAAATATTTGCCACCACCCTTTGAAAATAGAAAGTAAACAATAAACTATCTAAACCTACCCGTAACAGGACGGTATGCAAGCATTGACCCAGGCTCCTGTTTATACGAAATCGTTCCCGTAACAAAATATGTATCACACAGACGAAATCGTCTTCTATAGACCATAACATTTATGTGAGTTTTGTTATTTCGGAAATGATTCAAACACTCTGTATAACTCACATCTGATATAGATGTTAAGCACGATTTTGTCTCCAGTCCATGATTATAGATAATTGTTTCATCTTGAGCATCTATCAACAAATTTGTGAACAAATGAATTAAATAATAACATATAATCCTACAAGCATTCATTCTGTTCACCATTCTTAACAGTATTGCCTTCAGTCACTTACATTCAGTCACTTTTAGCATTACATGAAGCATGCTTAAAATTTACTAAATGCTGAGACATAAAAGGTAAAGCGTTTGTAACCAAGCCGGAATGGAGCTTCAACAGCGTATTTATTATCAACTGTAAAGCTGCGAATGACGAAACAAATAAAAACCATATTAACATTGTGATGTCTTTTCGTCTATGTGTAATATGAACGGAACATAATTTTCGTCACAATGGCTTAATTGTCTGTTATTTGGAAGCAACCTATATATTATGCATGTATGGCACTCATTATATCTATAGAGACATTTTTTAAAGTGTAGTGTACTAGATTTGTGTTTGTGCGCACACATTCACACACAAAAAGTATTTACATAAGTATTTAAAATTGTACCGTGTGTGCTAATACATTTTCAATCATGTAACTTTGTTTTGTAATTGCCTGAACAGTTGATAATCCGTTAAATGAATTATTTTGCATGTGCTATGATTTGTTTCCTGATAATGATCAATAGGGAAACATTTTTCATTTTGATGATATCATATATTGTTTCTACAATTCTGAAAAGAGCCCTTGCAATAGTCAAGCTTTAGTTCATACAAAACGCTTTTTTCTCGTAAACCGTAAGATAAATTTAGTTTAATCTAAACAGGAGTCCTTAAAGGCATATAACAGACCTATGCTGTCACATTTACAGTCCCTATTGTGCCCAAGCAATCAACCAAGTCATTTGACTTATATGAGAAAAAAAAACGAGACTTTTGAAAAACATGTTTTTGTTCCGTCAAATATGAATTCCTTCCTTCAGCAGAAACGCAGAAAATTTGAGTAATCACCTCACCTTTTATTAAAAACAAATATAAAACGAATTTTAATATAGTTATCAATGCCATAAACATATTAATGGTTAAAACAAAATGTATTTTATCTTCCTGGAAATTAACCAACTATTATTGTAATATTAAACAATTTACTTAGTCAGAACAAGTCATGAATAAATTGTACACAATAACAATAGAAATTGGCGACCATTTAGAAACTTTGCATGCAAACATGTTTGTAATTTATCATAGACTTATTATACGATATGAACTCTATTTGCATCCCCTCTTTTTGCACACTTAGGAACATGTCGGTAAAATGAAATTGGTTTGAATAATCACTTTTAATTAACACATAGATTATATTAGTCGGTTTCAAGTACCGTATCAAAGATTTAAGACTGCCATAACAATTCAATGGTGTCGCTACATTAGGTGATAATAGAAATTCCATCGTAGCATTCGATTCAAATTTGTGTACGGTCAAAATAGAATATTTGAAACATGTTAATCGTTTAAATCATGAATCATTTATTTTATATAGAACAATTTTATGTCAGTGCATTTTGTCATTCTTCATGAACAATATACTTGATCAGACATTTATACAGTATTAACTTTACCAAAAATGTTTTGAGAAAAAAAGTATATATATTTAATAACAGACCTTTCATACGATGGAAACATATTTTCAAACTATTTCAGCAAACAAAACCCATTGTGAACATGCCCACGATACACAGAATTTAGACAGATAATCCCTTCCTTATCAAAATTTCAGGACATTCTGATCAATTGAATGGTTTCGTCGTAACTATTTGATTCAAGCAATCGTTTGCTATGAAAAGTTGATGGGATGGAATTATATACCTAAAATTTATAGTAAAATAAGGCAAAAGGCGAATTCCAAATTCCTAACACTTTTGTGTCAACAATAAATCATTTTATAAATATTTAATTCTTAAATTATAGTACAATCAAAATGTATTCTGGAATAATGCCATTATTATGTCTTTGACTTAAGAAGAGATTAATTATGTAAAAGGAGTTACAAACGAATATCGCACAAGGAGTATCAAATTAACGCAACAACAAATTCAAAACAAAAGAATTTATTGATCACAAATTTGAATTGGAGCACGTATATTTACACTAATAATAATAACCAATATTTTCTATCCTGTTAAATAATCGATAAAAGCATTGATTTAAAGTGATAATCAAAAGTATACAAAATAATGAAAAAATTAAAAAATATAAAATAACAAAATATTGTTAAAAATATGTGTGGTGGCAGAGATTGCTATACTGATTAGGGGAAATCACTTCGTAGGTTGGCACGGAGAGGCATCTGAGGGTTTCCAAGTAAAGCAGAAAAGTCGCCAGCTGATCATAACAGGGTCGCTGAGACTTTAATCCAAACAACACAAGGGTTTCAAAACATTAGGCAAAAACAATACGATGGCATCTATACTCATTCCTGTTCTCCAATGAAATAAGCTAGAAATTTTTTTTTTCATCTTAAATTGTACACAATAACAATAGAAATTGGCGACGATTTAGTAACGTTGAACGCAAACCTGTTTGTAATGTAATATAAACCTTTAATGCAATATGAACTCTATTTGCATACCTCTTTTTGCACACTTAGGAACTTGTGGATGAAATGCATTTGGTTTGAATAATCATATTAACACATTGATTATATTACTAGTAGTCGGTTTCCAGTACCTTACAAAAGACTTAAGATGCCCTAACAATTCAATGGTGTCGCTACATTAGGTGATAATAGAAACTTCATCGTGCCATTCGATTCAAATTTTTGTACGGTCAAAAATGAAAGGTTTCATAGAATATCTGATACATGTTTTTTTAAATCAAAAATTCGTTTGAATCATGAATCTTTTATGTTATATACAACAATTTAATTTTGATATTGATTGTATTTTACTTTTATGAAGATTTCAGTGCAGTTTGTCATTCTCCATGAGCAATGTACTTGATCAGACATTTATACAGTATTAACTTTACCAAAAATGTTTTGAGGAAAAAGTATGTATATTTAATAACAGACCTTTCATAATATCTTCTAATCATTTTAGCAGATAAAATCAATTAGGATCATCCTCTCGATACATTAAATCTTTACGGGTTATCCCTTCCTTATCAAAATTGCAAGACATTCTGATCAATTGAATGGTTTCGTTGTATCTATTTGATTTAGGCATTCGGTTGCTATGAAAATATAATGGGATTGAATTATATAGCTAGAATTAATAGCATGATATAGCAAAAAGCAAATTCTAAATGTCTAACACATTCGTTTCAACAATAAATCATTTTATAAACATTTTATTCTTAACATAACGAAAACTCACTAAGCTTTCTAGAATTATTCATTTTATCACGTCCTTGACTTACAAAGAGGGTAATAATGTAAAAGGAGTAGCACACAAATCCAACAAACTGAGTAACAAATTAACGCAACAACAAATTCAAAACAAAAGAGTTTAAGAATCGCAAACGTATATTAACATTATAAACAATCAATACTCTCTATTATTTAAGATAACTGATATTAATCTACTTATTCAATCTGGTCGACATTCATGGTAAGAAACTTAATTATAAACTACCAAAATATAGTATATACACAAGAAAGGATAAATATTAACAGGAACTACCACACAACCAAAGCAAAAACAGGGCGTTATTTTTTACAAAAGAAATTGAAATCATACAAAATACCTTCAAAAGGGTCGTTTAGGCTCCGTTTGGTGAAAGCAGGGACTTGATGCCGGGGAGGGGGATGGGGGTTCCCAAAATTTTTGGACAAAATGGGGGGGAGATATTTACCGTCCCACTCAGAACAAAGTAAATATTTTATAAGGGAAGATGAGGCCTTTCACAGCACGCAAGCCCCTAATAAAAATTGAGACACACTCAGCACCAAACAGAAAAATTTAAAAAAAGGCAAAAGCGAAAAGGGGGGGAAAAAGGAAGGGGATATTTTCTAAAAATAAAAAACAAATTTTTAAAAAAAAAAAGGGCCAAATTTTTTAAAACCCTTCACGGACCCCGGTATGCACATTATTTACTTTTTTGTCAAACTTTATTTTAAAGTTGGGTTTTTTAGCCTTTTGAAAATAAAAATAATTTTATTTGTAAAAAAAAATTTCCCCAAAAATTTTTATTTTCTGCTCAATTAATTATGCTCTAAGTACCATTCCTTTAAACAGCATATTATTGCGCAAATACTTCTGGTGATATTATGAATCTTTTGGAAAAAGAAATAAAATAAAATGTGTACACATTGATAAAACATCTAACTTTTTAAACAAAATATTTAGAGTGGCGGCATGGCCGAGTGGTAACGCGTCAGACTAGTAATCTGAGAATTGCTGGCCACGTGGATTCAAACCTGGGCAGGGGCAAGCTGTTGTTTCTGTTAGCAAGAAACTTATAAGAACTGGTTGCTTCAAGGAAAAATTGAGAGTGTTTCAATTAGCTTAGAACTTCCAACACAACACAATCAATCTAAAATACAATTAGTATAAACTAAGCTTAACATCGACTTTAACATATGTTGTAATATTTGATGCATTCACATGGATGAATCACCAACAAGCATTGACAGAAGATTTTCGTTTACACATTCTCTTAAATAAAAACGTTGCTAAATCGTTTAAGGCAAATTAAATCTAGCAAGATGACATGACATATGAGCAATTAAAATGAATATATTAAGCAAACAACTTCAAAATAAATGTATTTAAAAACTTGACGTTGTTTATCATACAAGTGCATTTAAAAAAATAAGATATTGAAAAAACGTTTAAATCTTTGTACCTTTACATATTTTCATTCGGTTAAATAACATAACAATTGTTTGACAAAGAAAGAAAGAAAAAGGAGAAAAAGGGTTATAAAACTGTACTACAGTTTCGATTCGATGCATAAATTCGGATACAATTTAATTTTCACACATGAATATCTTTTAAAATGCAAGGATTCATTGGATTTCAATAAATGACATATAAGTGTATAATCATACCGCCTTGTTTGTGAAAAAAATAAAGATGTCTTTCCTTTTACGAAGAGACATTATGGCTAACATTATTTTCATCAGACCATTTTGAGAACAACATTTAAAAAGCACATACATAATATACTCGGCCTAATAACATTATTTTGTTACAAACATTTTTGAAGTGGTCCTTATAGTGATAAACCGTCTGCGTTATCATTTGAGTTTTACTTTGATTCTTTATTTAACTGAAGGTTATAGTCAATTATTCAATTTTATGTCACTAATTCTGTTATACAGCTTTCTACAGAGAATACACTATATAATTATCAAACACTTTACTGCATTAACATAACAAAGTTCAGCAAAATTAATATGTTTCCAGATGTTTGTTCAGACGAAAACTTCCTATCTCTTACATCAAATTGCTTTCTACAAAATATTCACATCATTTATTTAATAAGCTTGTTGAAAACTGAGCGAAAAATAATAATAATACATTGACACTCTCCTAAGAGGACTCATCATTTCAAACAATCATTCCGATAAACAGTGCTATATTATAGTGAGAGATCAAATATAAATTTACATATACTGGTCTTTTTAAAGCATGTAATTTACTTCGAATTTCCATACGTAACCTTGTTTTAACCTACATAATTTATTTCTAGTGAAACAATTGAACAAATATTTAAAGTCAAAATCGATGATGACTACTAATTAAAATTCTTACTACATTTTTGAAAATATCAAATATACTGGAGGCTTTCTGTTGATATCAAATGGTATTTTATTGTTTAACGTTCCCCTTATTTTATGCTAACGTGTATATCAAATGTAGTCGGTTCTAGGTTATTTGCTTTTCTCACAGAACTATTCTAATTTCTTTTCACTTTCATATGTACACTATGGATTTAATATTGTAACCACAACACATAAGCCAGTTAAAACTATTAGCAAGCGTAGAGTGATTTGCTGATTGAAAAATCCTTTCAAATTACTTTTCATGCCATGTTTTATACCAAAGCACAGTTGCCAGTACTGTCATCGTTTTCCCTGACTTTGGTCTTGAACACACATCCATCTTGAAAAGAAAGGCTATCTCGACTGTTTCCAGAGACACCACTTACACGTACTATCATCATTATTATTATTATTATTATTATTATTATTATTATTATTATTATTATTATTATTAGTATCACCTATTCTTGTTAGCATTTTAATAGACAAATACAAACTTACACTAAATGTTTAAATGCATACAATTAAGCATATAGAATGGTAATAAAATTTAAGGCTAAATTTGTTATGTCTGTAATGTATTTAATGTCTATCCTAAGAACTTTAGTAAATTTAATTAATTTTAGTTATTCACGTAATTTCAGAATGATCGACTGAATGACTATCTTTTTGGAAACTGTTCATCAATTTCATTTCAGCTCAACCATTCTATTAGCTGAGCTATATCAAAAAGAGCATAAGATTGTGGAAATGAAACAAACGTCGGCAGTACAACTAAACAAATTTGCAACATTTTAAATAATTGACATTATAAATAGTCGAACTAATAGTCGTATCTAACCATATCATTTCTTTTGTTATATAATGTTTAGCTGTTTTTTTTCTTCTTTCCAATATGGTATCTTAATAATTATGTTAAGATTTAAGAAACATATCGCCGTTGTTGTGCTGTTACGGAAAATTTCTTTTAACCTTCATCACTGCACTGCGAATAGAATAGTAATGACCCCAACAATGGTACCAGTTTACCCCATTGGCGTAAGAAGAGTGATTCCCCGATAAGTACAATCCATTCAAATTGCTTTTATGACAATATTTGTACCACCATGCTCCTTCAAATATATGAGCGCAGTTTTCGTCAGCCGATTCGTCGTTATCCCTATCTTTAGTCGAGAACATATTTCCATCATGGTAACGAAGACTATCACCGCAGTTTCCGGAGAAACCATTTACATGCAATCTAAAATTTGAATCTTCGTCGTCAACTCTGAACGTGTCATACTGTGCATAAGCATGGGTACGTAAGTCACGTGACACATCTTCAAATGCTTCCATTTCAATTTTTAAAGAACTGTTAACGGTAGTTAGCCCATGTATATTCTCAAGACCAAGCCAGTACTCGCCTGATATGTCACCGAATCCACAAACATAATCTGTCCATGTTCTGTAGAAGTTTTCTGACCCATCCAGTCGGCGTTGTATTACTGTCCATCCACCATTTTTCATATCGCACCATGTTTGTATGCTTAACCCACCGACAGGTTCTATTGTATATATACCGTCCTCCTTGCAACCTTTTTCAAAAAGTGCAAGGCAATCCTTTTGTTCTGTAAATTAAACATACAAACTAAATTAATGAAATAATAAATAAATGACCAAAGAGACCTTACCGATATCAGTATCAAGTGGTAAAGAAATAATATCACATATCGCATTAAAGTAATAATTCAAGATGTTTCGATTGCAAACAAAGAAATAATCAACCCTCATTTTTTCTAACTTTCAATCATCTAATTGGACTTTTGTGTAATGTTTATACAAGTCTACCATGTAACTCAGATTGTTTAGTAGCTACATAGAATACAGTGTCTCTTGACAGGTTAAATAAGGTCACGTGGTACACATTTGCAGAAATCAATATTGTTGTTATTGTTATTGTTAATCGGTTCGATAGTTAATCTTCCTAATTAAATGTGAATGATCATCCCCAAAGTGGCTACGAGCACTTGTGATTTTATGCAACTGTTTGCAACCTTAAGAGTCCAAAACTACCGCGGGTTTAATAGTTTAACACCTTGTTTGCGTCTGCAAAGGTTGAGCATAGAAGGCAAAAAAGCAAATAATCGTCTGAAGATAACATTTTCTTAAACAAAACAGGCAAATAAACGGTTTAAATTAAAGAGATGAGTTGATACTATTTCAGTTATGTAACTGTAACAGTTAAATGAAAATTTCATATCACTGAGATTTGTGTTTGGGAAAAAAACAGCACATGTATGAGTTTGTAACATAGACAATTGCTTCATCCCTTGTTTTTTTCTAATATTGTATTATTTCTGTTATTAATAAATAAATATACAGTAGAACTTCTATGAGTCGAACTTTGATAAGTCGATTTTCTCGATGTGCCAAATAAAATGAAAGTCCCGCTTTTTCCACCTAATTTCCTTATAAAAAATCTATACATGAGTCGTATAAACTAATATACAATGTATGCATAGATTAATTTATTTTAACATATAATATAATAAAAGCAAAACAAAATATTTGCCACCACCGTTTGAAAAAAGAAAGTAAACAATAAATTATCGAAACCTACCCGTAACAGGACGGTATGCAAGCATTGACCCAGGCTCCTGTTTATACGAAATCGTTTCCGTAACAAAATACGTATCACACAGACGAAATCGTCTTCTATAGACCATAACATTTATGTGAGTTTTGTTATTTCGGAAATGATTCAAACACTCTGTATAACTCAAATCTGATATATATGTTAAGCACGATTTTGTCTCCAGTCCATGGTTATAGATAATTGTTTCATCTTGAGCATATATCAACAAATTTGTGATCAAATGAAACAGAAAATAACATATAATCCTGCAACCGTGCATTCTGTTCAGCATTCTAAACAGCATTTGCATTGAATTTCCGTCACTTACATTAAGTCTCTTTTGTTAATAGAATTACATGATACATGCTTAAATACTAAATGCTGAGACATAAAACGTAACGCGTTTGTAATCAAGCCGGAATGCAACTTCATAGGCGTGTTTCTACAGCGTATTTATTATCAACTGTAAAGCAGCAAATGACGAAACAAATAAAGACCATATTAACATTGTGATGTATATTCGTCTGTGTGTAATATGAACGGAACACACGTTTTGTCACAATGGTCTGTTATTTGGAAGCAACCTATATATAATGCATGACTCTTTCAAATGTATGGCATACTTGATAGCTCATTTTCTCTATAGAGACATTTATGTTAAGTGTACTAGATTTTTGTTTGTGCACACACTAGCACACACACACGCGTGCGCGCGTACGCACGCACGCAAACACCCACACACAAAAATATTTACATAATTATTTGAAAATTGTATTGTATGTACTATTTAATTGCAATCATGTTACTTTGTTTTGTAACTGCCTGAACTATTTCTATTGTAAATTGAACTTTTAAACTTGACTTTATTAAAGCTATAAAGTGAAGTCCGAAATGTCTAAATAAAAGCGTGAAGTATGAATCATTAAATGCAAAACCATAAAAATCCTATACTGGCGGCCATATTTACCACAATATCTTATGCCAAATATTATGTGCAACTCTTCGAAGATATTTTTGTTTGTTTGAAACACAAAAGAATAACATTTAATGCTAGATATTGCATTATTTTGCAAATGTTGTAAATTGACGGAAGGGTATCTCAAAATACTGAATTTTGGCCGCTATTTTGATTTTTAGGCTGGGGTCTCGATCCAAAACAGCTTTACATAATCAAAATAGAATAAATCCAAAGGTGGTTTGCCTTTGTAGAATTAATAAGGTAAACGATTATAACTTATGTACTTTTGACTCTAACCAAAGACAGTTGGGATAATCCGTTAAATGTATCATTTTGCGTGTGCTTTGATTTGTTTCCTGATAATGATCAATAGGGAAACATTTACATTTTGATGATATCATATATTGTTTCTTCAATTCTGGAAAAGAGCCCTTGCAATAGCCAAGCTTCAGTTCATACAAAAGGCCTTTTACTCGTAAACCGTAAGATAAATTTAGTTTAATCCATACAGGTGTCCTTTAAGGCATATACTTGACATATGTTATCAATTCTACCGTCCCTTTTGTGCCCAAGCAATCAACGTAGTCATTGGACTTATATGAGAAAAAAACGAGACTTTTGAAAAAAAAATTCCTTCCGTCAAATATTAATTCCTTCCTCCAGCAGAAACGCAGAAAATCACCTCACCTTTTATTATAGACAAAAATGAAACGAATTGTTATTATAGTAATCAATGCCATAAACATATTAAATGGTTAAAACAATGTATGATAATTTACAAAACCGAGATAAAAAATCAGATTGCAAAAGACAACTTCTAAGTGCGTTTTGCAAATATAGAAACATGCTTTGAAAAGCTACTTGTCTACAATTTAAAACTGTTGGTGTTAAAATTTGCGCATATCTTTATAAAATTCAAAAATATTTTAAACAAAGATGCTAACGATTTTAATAAAATTAAAAAAGTATAAACTGTTTAATTCTTAAGAAATGACACTATGTTAAAATATAAAAGCTGTACATAGGAATAATGGGGAAAAATGTCCTGTAAAAAAAGATGCAATCCAAATTGTAACAAAATAATGAACAATCTGTTTTCGGCAATTCATTGGGGCTTTTTGGGGTTTGGGTTTTAGGGGCGGGGTTTTTAGGGGAAAAAAATTCATTCAAGACCCCATCAGAAATATCATGTTTCAAATTGAAAAGTTATTTGAAAATGTAAAAAATTTAAACTCCCCCCGTTGAAAACCCTTTTGGGGGGCCCCGAAAACTTTATGTCGGACAAAATCCCATGGGTCCTCTGTATAGTGCATCGTCCATGGATGGTATTTATTTGCCCTCAACTATTTAAACAGCTGAAATGTGGTTTATTGAATTGTTCAGACGCCTTGTAGATGTGATGTTGAGCGGCGGTGCAAAGCTTCGAAGGAGAAGTTATATCTAACAATTGTTGGTTATCATGATTGTTTTAAAGTGATTTTTAATAATGATGATACCGTTACACGTGAAGTGACAGGAATAATATGGTAAAACACCTGTTTCAATAAATATGTTTTGATTGGGTCTAACGTCGCTTCACGACAGTAGAGGTCATTTTACGTCATTTATGGAAGGCCATTTCCCCAATAAACTTTATCTATATCCGTTTTGATTTCTGAAGCGCATTTACCATAACCCACGCCTTTTGTAATAAACTGTTTTGCTCCTCTCTCAAATCCCAACGTAACTCAGTCATGTTTAAAACAATAATCTTTCCTACGTTCCTATGGTATATTATACACTATTATGCAAATCATGGATATTTGAGCTATTGCCAAATTGACCTTTAAAACAATATATTCTTCATGACTAATTCCGTCTGCATCATAACAGGATCAAATTCCATTAACCTTTAATTATTCTCCCCCTTCCCTATCTGAGTTTCTTAGTTCGTGCGTCGTATCATGTAATTGTTGTTGTATCCTCGCCAATTTGCTGTTTCAGGTCTTTGTCAAGTTTCTTTTCGGTGCCATAACGTTAATCAGGTTTGCGTTTCGTGAGCGGCGCTCTTTTTTCTTGATCTTTGTATTCAAAATGTTGAAGCAACTTTACCATTGATTTAAACTATAATGACTAAATGTTTTAGTAAGTCTGATGTTCACGGTTTCGTATTTGTGATGAATATATTAAGTTTTTTTACGAGAACTTTGTAATATAAATTCTACTTGAACATAGGAATATAATGTTAACACTTTGTATATGAATAAAAAAAACTATTTGTTTGATTATTAGTAAAGGAAGATTCTTCTTCTTGTGGGTGTTATTACATTTGTTTTAGTCAAATTTAGAAAGGGGACAAGGGAATTAAATGCTCTAATTACAATACTAGTAAACCTGAATATATTTATGTGAAATATTTTCCGAACATCTGTAAGTGTTTATGGTATATTTTTGAAGATTCTACATGGTTATTTGTAATCAATAAAATACTTGCATTTTCAGTTTGTTGTACATTTGTTACACCCTTGGTAACTATCTGTGTACAGTGCCATATACAATGGCCTTTTCCGAGCAAAACACAATGACATTAAAATAAAAGTAAAGCTATAAACTAAAGCATAAAATAGAGTGAAATAAGAATCCCTTAAGAAAGCCCAACGAGGCAAAATTGAAAATGTTGCAGGCTCGGTTTGATTGAGCCTGTTCATTGACGGTACTGTCTAGTGCAAACTACACCGGCTTAAGCAGATTTCAACAGTTAACATAAACTGGTAAAATTTAAAATTTTGAAACATCCGCAAATGTGTTCATATGGCGGTTATCATGGAACCTTCAATGTGACACGTTAGTGCCATTCCATGAAAAGCGGCATATGGTCCCCAAGTAAGAAAATACGTGTGCCCTAAACGAGATAACAATGGGCGGAACAAAATGGAATTTTGAAAGGGGATCTGAGGTTATGAAGCCTGCATATCAATGATATATCGTCAAAAGACAAATTAAAAAAAGCAGGCCTCATATCCTAAGGGTGATTCAACATTATTTAAGTGAGGAAT